ATTGACACGAAAAAAACAAATGTTCAAGGGATTCATCTTCAGATTTACAAAAGGCACACAAATCAACCTCAAATTTAAATCTTCTGTGCAGAAACATGGCTACTGGATATATCTTATTTATTATTTTAAATTGGTTTTCTTTCACTTTAGGAGAAATAGGCCATTTGACAAATTTTGAATGAGCAGAGGTCATTATGGTTTTATGATTTATATTGGGAGGTTTCTTGAATGAATCTTTGTTATAAATCCTTTGTCGCATGCATTCATTGATAATCTTATTGTTACATTTGAGGTCAACTAAACTACAGTCATTTAGTTTTAACGTGGGCATCGAAACAGTCACCTTTGAATATATAATGATATTTTTAATTAACTGAATCAAGGCTAAAGGGATTGCATTACATGCTTTCATAAAATCTTTATGGCAGCAGCTAAGGTTATGTTTTCTAACAAAAGATGAGAAATTTAAAAGATTACAATCCAAGATATCTTTTACAAAAAATATGCCTTTTTCATACCAGTCTTTTTCTAAATATTGACTTTCTGCCCACTGTGATTGCTCTGTTATTCCACAAAGTTGATCCATGAGGTGAGAAATTATGGTGAAATATCATTTTCCAGAACTGAAGAACTTGTTTGTGCAAGTTTGATCATTTAACTGGAATCTTCGTCACTTCAAAGTCACACATTACAAGGAAGTCAATTCCTCCCAGCTGCTTAAAAATGGAGGCAGGGACATGAAACCACATGGAATTTTGTTGTTGTAAAAAAGTTTTTAACCATTTAGTCCTAAATGTACCAACCATCGCTTCAAAGTCTAGTGCATTAATACCACCATTCTCATGTTTTTGAACTAGTTGGTACATTTTAACATAATGAGTCTTATTTTTACACAAAAACTGAAAGATAATGGAATTGGCTCTTCTGTTAAACAGAATCATAACACCCGCTGAGTGTGACGTCCCGTGACTGACAAAACAGAATCACCCCAAAAGTTCACATCGTCTTCACCAGAATGAGTTTCTTGTAGGAAAACACAATTAGCTCTTTGCTCCTTACAAAAAAGAAAAACATATTTTCGTTTCACATTGTTTTTAAGCCCCCTAGCATTTAAAGACATAAAAGATAATATACCTAAAAACTTTTGAGGTAGAACACAAAATCATAAGATGTGCAGGAATGATAAATCTTGTCCTATCTACTATCAGAACAAGGTGCATTTAACTTTTAAGACATATCTGGTGAATCAAAACACTATCTATTATTGAGAGCATTTATAGGTCTTTGAATAAAATTCAGAATGAAAAGCTCAGTCAATGTCTATGAAGGGTCGACTCTCCGGTTGTTGATCAGAGCGTATCCTTCCTTCAGGAAAGCTCTGCCCTCGCTGTCTGGCATCTCGTACCAGCGGTCACAACTTCTTGCGAGCTTCCCTGTCCTCTTTGGAGAAATCTTCTTTAAACTGGATACGCTTCTCCTGACAGACCCTGGCATCCTTGGATCTCTTCCAGACCTCGTCTCGAACCGTTCTTGCCACAAACTGGATTATTATTGACCGCGGAGCGCTGTTTGAAGTGGCGGGGTCACTCTTCCTTCCCAGGCGATGTACGGTTCCCACGAAGCTGATCCACTGAGATGGGCACCACTCTGGTCAAAATGCCAATGACCTCCTCTCTGGTATCCTCCCCCTCTTTTTCTGCAAGGCCATTCAGTCTCAAACTCCATCTCCTTTTGTATCGAGATTGTTCCATCACAGACTCCTTCAGCTGTTTGTTCTCCTCTTCAAGCTCCCTGACTTTTTACTGCAGCCCCTTGATGCTCTCTTTGTTCGCATTAATAGCAGCAGCATTCTCCTCAATCTTTCTCTCATACTTCTGCAGAAGTTCAGTTTGTGCACCCACCTTTATCGTCAGTGAACTCACTGTTGATGTCAGTGAATTCACAGCTTCTGGAATAGGCTTGAGGTTGCACTCACGCCGAGGGTCGTCGTTGCCTTTTAGAGTGGGGAGGTTTAGTTGGAGTGTGTGCCTGGTTGATCTTTTCCGTCTTAGACATCTGTTCGTCAGCTCCAACGTCTGTATTTTTGCAGTCTCCATCTTCACTCACACTGGGAAGAGCGACCACGCCGTAGTCATGTTCGTCCATGGTAGCTAACTTTTCGTCCACGTGTTAGCCCGTTCAAGAAAAGACACTTGTAAAATTTATATTTTGCTACAAAAATTTCACTTTTTAGAAGCTTTCAATTAACTCACAGCGTGTTGAAAAGCACACAAAAATGCATTCAAGGACTGTACACAAACTATTAACACCGGAGCCTGCAAGCTGCGACTGCTCACTCCGCCATCTTCCCTCTCCACCATGGGGAAGTCAACACTGCTCTTTCATCCAGTGATTGCTGCAAATGGAGGGAAAGTTTTGCAGCAAAGTCAGAAGTTCTGTAAGTTCTGTTGTTCACAGGACTGGCAGGAAAGTCGCAAATAATTCTGAAGCTGAACTCATCCTTCAAGTTGTATCTTCACTGCTGAGCAGCTGGGCTGAGGTGATCCAGAATCAGTCAGTGTGGCCCGAATCCTGGGAACTGCAGGAAATAGACAGGGTTCAGTCAGGTTCTGGTCGCACGGTGCTGGTCCGGACCGGGCCAGAGGTGGTGGATTCAATCCTGGGCAGCAGCATGCGCACATCAAGCTGGATGGAGCAGTGGGATTCAGTCATGCTGTACCGGGACGTTTTTCATCTATCGGGTCGGACCGGAACTGAGCCGCCACTCCTTTACTGCAAAGCCTGATAAGTAAAATTTAGTAACATATGTTGTTAAAATGACGTAGGTTTAAGAGTTTAGAACATTCCAAGAGTGTGGGAAGGGTTTCTAAAGCCTTAATATAAAGTTTACTGTACTTGAACTTGGACTACTGTTTCTCTTCTTCGCGGTTTTTCAATTATCACGGGGCTTCATGGTACGGTTCCCCCGTGATAAACGAGGGACCACTGTAACTACAATTTGAATTTACAGGTTGCAACTTAATGGGTCACAAATATTCATGTGGTCAAAATAAAAAGTGGATTCCTGAAGGCATACTGCTGCGTGTTTTGGTCCCACCCACTCCACATCAACATTGTGATTGGATAATTTTCCTGTCAGTTATTAAACAATTTCTCAGAGCTCCTCACTGAGCTGGGCCTTCTCTCCAAACAGTAAAGTCCTAACCAGATCACAACATGAGCAGAAGGACGTTGCAGAACATTCCCACAGGAGAGGTATCGATCATGAGTGCAAATAATATACATTACACTGACACCTTCAAACATGTTTCTGCATAAAGATGTACATTTTAAAAGAATCTGATAGGATAACTATATTTAAAAAAATAAAAAAAAACTTGCTCAACAGCACAATAGTTTATGCAAAATCTAAATTAGCATTAAAAAAATTAAATGTTAATTTCAATGTAACTATGTGTTGAATTTATGGGCCTTCTCTGAAGGCATAGAAGGCCCTGAGGGTTCTGCATTGGTCATGAGTCATCGGAGCATCATCAAGTAGCTACAGGTGTTTATATGTTTGATGTCGTCAGCACTCACACTAATATTTCACTTTGTATAGTTTCTTTTGTGTAAGGAACTCTCGTGAGGGTTTGGACCGAGATCACAACACAACAGAATGACGATAAATAATAATGTGTTTATTGTTTCAAGGGAGGAAGTGACAGCCGGTCCTGGTGCCGGTCTGGGTTCTGGTGTCGGTTGGATAGCAGGAACAGTTCTACGAAGCAGAGAACGGTTAGTGGTCGTGCTGATTACCAGAACGTGGAGAACAGTCAACAAGGAAAAACCACTAACCGTCTCAGATGATCTCAAGGGTCCTGAAGGGTTGAAGTGTTCAGATCTGCAGCTGCTGGAAGGGCTGAGTCCGGTGAAGG